AATACAGAAAAACTATCAAGGAAGGTAAAAGACAAAGCTTCATCAGTAAACTAAACTTTCTTTCTTTTTAAAGATTTTTGCAACCGTTAGCGTAGGTTTCGTAGAGCGCCAGAGGGAAACAAAGAGCACAGTGAGTTTTAATTTATGACTTAAGTTTATTAATTAAATTTTACTAGCATATCATTGATAAAACTATTCTACAGTTATCTAGTACAAATATGACTGGAAGGTTCACTGTTGCATTTGTCAAACAAATTTCTGGTTACGTACACTGTGCTTTCTGTTTTCCTCTGCCGCTCTACAAAACCTACGCTGAACGGTTGCGAAAAGCTTTAAAAAAAAGAAAGTCTAGTTCACCGATAAAGCTTTGTCTTTTACCTTCCTTGATAGTCTTTCTGAGTTCTTATCGCGATTCATATATCCCAGTAAAAATGTATACTCTCTTCCTTTTTGTTGATGACACAAATAAAATTAGTAGTTTACCGCTATTTTATTGTTTCATGCAGTTCGCACAACAATTTTGCACAGAATTACAAATAGTAGAAAAAATTTTTTTGACTGTTCTTATAATACTTCTGCAGTTTACTGGGTTGAGGGAGTTAAAAACTTGCTACTCGCTTTTCAACCATCAATTCATAAAAAAACGCTTTCATGTTTAATGTAGTTTAACAAAATAAGAAATCAACCCAATTAACTTTTTCGCAACGGAAATGAAATTTGTTCTAGCGATTAGCTGTATCATTTTAAAGTTTAGAACTTCAGAATCTGAAATACAGAGATTGGAAGAGCAAAATATGTGATTCGAGTTTAGCAAAGGGTTTGCTGAAGGGATTCTAAATATTACTCATTCTTGTCCTCGCGTTTCTTCGTGTACATTTATAGAAGGTGAATCATAGGTATTGCAGACGTTTATCAGGAACTTATGCAATATGATGTCAACTTAATGATATGGCTATAGCACAAATTTCGTGATTTTGAGCTGTCGCGTTAGTCCGTTTACCCAAAATATTTATGAAAAATGTCATTTCTTTTTGGACCATTGCTGTTTTCAAAAGTTTTGAAGTCGTTCCTCCTTACAAATCATTCTTTATCCTTCTTCAAGTAAATAATTTCCTATGCTAATATCAGAAATGCATTTTGGTTATTTTTAAAATTGAGAAAGTGAAAAAAATATACTTAAGAGAAGTTCTATCTAAGGCAATATAAAACCTCTTATTTGTTGAAATTTGTACAAAATTTACAAAAAAAAAAAATTATTTTCTACAACATGCTATGTCATTTCAATGCTAAATTGCAACTGTAAATATAGTCAGAATGCAGCTGTATACAGTTGAATTACCAACTTTTATTTATAACGTGTCAAACAGTATATAATTTATTATTAGTAAAGTGCCCACACCGTCTGAAGTATAAAAAACTGTTTTGTGTTAATTATAACAAGTAAAAAAGCAAGCAATTTATAATTACCCGTATCAGAAACGATACATTGAAATCAAGTTGGAATAAAATAATATCGGTAAAATAGAAACAAAGAGGAAAAAGACAAAATAATGTACTATTTAAAGTTGACCTAGTTTGAATGAAATTAATTGTACCCTAAAAACAACAAAATGATTTTTCTAAAACATACTGTAGAGGAAGTACAAACTAAAGGAGACTTAGAAAAAAAATTTGATTAAGGTAACAAAATAAATCAGGAAAAAGAAGAAGAAAGAAGAAGAAAAGGAGAATGAGAATTATAAACGAACGTCTACAAGCACTTACCAAAACAATATAAAACAACAGGAACTGATACTTTTCCTGCTAATTTTAAGCGTATCAAGATGCTCAATTAGCAAAGAATTCGGCTAAGAAATTGGGTAACCAGTAGCAGAAAAGTTACAAATGCACGATACTATCGCTTCATAAAGAGCAGAAAAAAATTTTTTTCTTACTTTCACACAACTATAATACAACAAAAATTTTCACTTATTGCTCGCCTAACCGAAAAAAAAAAAACAAGATAGGAATTGACCGTTCAGAGAGGACAGAACAGAAGAAGGTGAAGTTGAAACAGTAAAAAAAAAAAGACGAAAAAAACAACTGTCAGCATAAACTGATCTTATACTTGTAGACTAACACTGACAGCAGTAAGTCTGACAGAAAATTAATCGACAGATAGTAATATAAAAAAAATAAAATTATTCCCGTCACAAAAGGATAGTGATACTTATAGTTGACATAAAAAGAACAATGATAATACCAATAATAATAATAATCAGTAATAATATTAGTAGTAATAAGAAGAGCAGTAATAATATGTATAGCAACTATAACAGCTATAATGATAATTAGGATAAAAACAAAAAATGTAGAAGAAAGTTGTTTTTATAAATTAATGTTTAGCAAATTTGAAGAAGAAGATAGAAGTGGAAAGAATGATTGTGAGTTGGCAACCGGTAAAAACTTAAGTATTGTTTATATGTTAGGATTAACCGACAGACCCGAAATGATTTACTTATGTATAAATGTGTGTATATTGCTTGGCTAGCTGTTCATCTAACATTTCGCCGTCAGAACTGATACCTCAGCGACAACTGTGAGAAATCATAAAATGGCTTTCAAGGATATCAGAACGAGTTCTGCGCTGTGTGTATCAAACTGGTCAAATGAGCAGTAATGTCTAGTTTTTTTTCTTTTGCTTTTTTTGTTTTGTTTTTATTTTTGCCTCGACTCCAACTGCAGCTAACGACCACATTCTGAAGAAAATGGAAGACTCATAGAGAAAGAAGCAAAGAAACGAGAAAGGAAGAGTGTCTTAAAAGAAATTAGATTAACGTCATCAATAACCACGTAATTGTGGGCGTAATAAATTACTTGATTTATCCGATTTGTTAGACTCATCAGCAGTTTCTTCCTTCGTAACTGATGAATCCATCGGTGAAATTGACCTGCAGAAATAAATTTGAAACCGTCAGAAACTATAAAATTTTCTAGTGTATCTGATTAATAAATTTCAAGCGAACCTGCTTCCACGCCTTGAGTGTTCATCCGCGTCTCCTCGACTACTGCCATCTGTCGAAGTATCCAGCGAACTTCTGGTTTTCATGAGTGGTAACGCTGATGATGCACGTCGCTGTTTTCGAAGTTCATTGTAGTATCCGTCACGAACGGCACTGAACATCGCGCTCGTCAAAGTCGACCTAAACAGAAACGACCTGTTTCAATACTGCTACACAGGGCTAATGAAAAGGCAAAAAATATTTAAAATTTCAGTACCTACCAGGCAGTCACAGTGTCATAGGACTGATGAACTGCAGCATCTAAAAAGCAACATTCTGTAGTAACAGCATCTGCTGTAATAGCAAAGAAATCAGGTCGAAATCCTTGATTCCTAAACTGAACGTGCTTAACGCCGAATTCTTCCGAAGTCCGTTGTACCTCATCACTGTCTGACAATTGTTCGGTTACACGGAACAGAAATTCTTTCAAGCTTTCTACCATTTCCATTTTCTGCTTCTAAAAATTATATTTTTAAGGATGATGAGAGATTTATAGCTGACCTTTTTTTGCTTAACTAACCATATTAGTTCTTTACCCGACTCTTTGCAGGAATAAATAAATATCAACAGTCTATTTTTACACAACAACAATGCTTGCAATAAAAAATAAGGGTCATAACAAATATTTAGAAAAACTTTGTCATTTAGCATCATTTAGCAAAAACAGTAAACATTTTGGTATAAAATTATAGAAATGATTCAGCAGGTATATCTAATTTTTTATAGGTATAAACCAGCTTTCGCGTGACAAATTTAAAAATTTTTATAATCATTGAAGAAAACTTTGCTTTTTGTTTGCTTTATTGGGTGATTTATAAGTTTTCATCACACTTCCTTTAAGCGCCCGCAGTCTTCAAACTAAGAAGTCAAATTTTTAGCAATTAAATAGGCATATGAGTAGTAACAAGCCTTCAGTTTAGTGACCAATTATCGCTACGAGAAATTATCTGTCTTCAGTGTCACTGTTTCAACGAGTGTGTAAAAAAGTGGTGTATTCTCAAGTCAAAGTTATGAATGCCCAAAATTGTCGTTTAATTTTTTTCTAGTAAGTATTCACTACTCAGTAATTTTAAATCCTTACTTACTAGCAAATTTCATAGACGTCTCTTGCAAGGAGAATTAAAGCAGATAACATTTACGAAGTCGTTGCTTAAAAAGGTTAAGTCGGCGGTGATATTGGCGAAATTAGGTAATGATAGTAATGGTCTTGACGAAGATGACAATTATAATTAAAAAAATAATTTTAGAGAGGAAAGTAAGAATGACAGTGTTAATAAGTGTAATAATAACAAGAATACTAACAAGAATGATAACAATAGTAATAATAATAATAACAATAATAATAATAAATAAATAAATAAATAAATAAAGTTCAAATAATTAGAAAAAAAATATTGTTTCCTTTAAATTTCATATTTTCCTTTTTCTTATTCTATATGTCTAGCCCTAATTTTTTTAATCAAAAAAGTACAGTTTTTTGGAGCAGTAAAGGCCAATAACAGTTACGAATAACTCCTTTATTATTTTACTAAGAAAAGGAGAAATGAGCAACTAGAAGACATTATGCAAAATAATGAAGAAATTTAAATAATATTTTTCTAGACAACTATAAATCACTTCTTTACAATAAGTGAATAAAGGTTTGTTTTTCACTATAAAAAAAACCTTTTAAAAAAAAGAAAAAAACCTTTTAAATCAAATGCAAAATACTATTACAGTTAGCAGTTAGATAACTGCTTTTTATTATACTAATATACGCACTTTAGAAGAGCTGTCTGTAAGTAAAGAACAATAGTAATTTAGAACGTATTTTTTTCTTTGTACACTCGTTTTAATTTCCAAACCAATTCTTCGATTTACTATAGAAGGGATTTCCTGATTTGGCCTATTTTTGACACTTCGCCACTAGGTTTCGCTTCTTTAAATACAGTCAATTTTAAGGAAACTGAACTTCTTATCAAAATTCCTTCTTGTACACTTTTTTGCATTTTTATCAATTGCGAATCCTTGTTTATTTTTGACTGTGAGGAAGACAATTTTTTTTTACAATCATAAGCCAGTTTGTGAATCGTTTAGGGTTTTTTGCTTAGTACTTAAATTGATGGTATTAAAGGCTTATTCAGATATTTATTTTTGTCGATCGCGGGTACAGAGATATTAGTAATTAAGGTCAGAAAGTCTGCTATCTTACAGTACCAGTTCCATAAAAAGTGGTGCGGTTGAGGGTGACTACAAGGTTATTTAACCGTAACTTTTCTAAAGATTTTACACGATTTACGACTGTTTTTTGTCTTTTTTATGTAGAAATATTATTAGGGATACTAGAAACAACCACCGAGGTTCAGTAGCTGGTTCTAATAGATTACGATGGGTATTAACAAAGTGACATTAAAAATTTGGCATTAAACGACTGCCAAAAAAAAAAGTTAACATTTTTACATAAAATCAATGTAATGCCTTAAAAAGATTGATGTAGTAGCACTTAGCACAATTTTCGAGTTACTTAAAAAACGCATAATCCTAAAGATAAGGAATAATTAAAGAAAGAAAAAACAGCCAAGAACCACAGTTGGTTTTAAAAAAACTTTAAAGTTTCAAACCGTTGTTTTAATCAAGTAATGTCGCTCATTTTCTAACCTGGAATTGGAAGTCAGAAGGCGACGCCTTTTCTATGCTATCCTATCAGTATCTAAGCTTCTGTGAAGGTAATCAAAAATGTAGAGAAGAACTTTAAGAATCAACCTACGCATCAAGCAAAAAAGAAAAGCATAAGCGGTTGACAAATGGTGTCATAACTTTACAAGAATCGTCTTGAACGTAATAAGTGCAGAAAGCGTGAGCAACATTAAGAAGTATACAGAAAACTACTTTAGACAAAATTTTAACTTTTTTAAAGCCAACTTTGAAGAAGCAACATGCAAAACAGCATCCTGTTGGAGTTTCTGTGACTTTAAGAGATTCTCGCTATAGTGAATCGTGGAATCGGTTAGGAAATAAAGACGAGTGAACAAAAAAACACCTTATAAACTACTGTTGTTCTCTGCCTACAGACAATTATTGAAATGTGTATTTTTTGTTTAATAAACAACACTTAGTTATTTGCTAACTATATTATTATATTACACTTAGTTTTTTAAACGTTTTTGAAGTTACAGTAAAAAAAGATAAGCCTTATTTACACACTTAATGTAAAAAAATACTTCACAGCCGCTTAAAAATTTGTTACTTCATTTTCGTCGAAGTTTTATATTACTTTTTTTTTTAGTGAACCCAGGTAATATCATCAGTAAATCGTAAAGTTTATTTAGAAATAAAAGTGAGTTTAATTCACTGAAGTTTATAAGAAGATTTATGTTATTTTTTTTTTCAAATGAATAATTGGAATGAAAACTACAATTCACATTGTTTCTGCATGATAAATCTGTCGTTCTGCAAAAAATGACTGCAAAAGCGATTTTTTTGTAATAATTAAAAGATCTATTACTTGTTTCTGAATCTGTGTTCTGAACAGATTTCTCTTCTCCTTTGTTTCGCTTTGCCTTTTTTTTGTCAAAAAGAAACAATAAGTATTCAAAAAATAAATAAATAAAATAACAAACATGTTGAATCTGACAATGTCAATGACGAAGAGGCAGAATAGAAGACAGAGGACGCTACTGGTGATGATAATAATTATAATGTTGAAAGAAAAGATGAGAAAAAAGTGAAAATGTTAGAAGAAAATAAATTTTGTTAAAATATTTTTGAATATAAGAAATTTTTCTTAAAAAATTATGTTAATTCTTTTTTCTTTGTAATGACATTAAAAATATAACGTTTGGTATTGTTGGCGGTAGGCATCGCCTAAGGTGATAACGTTGGATACAACAAATAGTTTTTGTGATTTCCTTCTTTCGGCTAACAATCGTAGACGGTACATTTGTAAGATTAGCCAAAAAAAAGATAAACAAGTCTTTTCAATGCTCAAAAAAATTTTGCTTTTGTTTATCATCGTTATTTTTTTCCAACGCATTATGTTTGCCACATATTTTTACATTCTCCGCCACTGATAAAATACGTTTTATCAGTTAACGACTGTTCTTAGTATAAATAGTGAAAAACATAAAGAAAAGTCTTCTAAGCTTCTTTTTGTCTGTTTCAAGAAATGTTCCTTCTTTTCAGTCTCTTTTTTTTGCTTTTTCTTAAAACAAATA